TCTTGCTTTGTTGCCGACCCTGATGTCAATCTCCCCTTGTGCCACATGCCTAGTTCTTACCAGCCCCTGCATCGAGTTGCAAATGTGAACAACCGATCCGGAATCAAATAACCAAGAGCTACTAGGTATGTCAGCAAGGTAAATGTCTATAACATATGCAACAAGTGTACCTTTGCTTGAAGAAGCATTTTCGGCCTTCTTGCCATGCTCTGCAAGCCACTTGCTACAGTTCCTCTTCCAGTGACCAGTTTCCTTGCAATGATAGCAAATGGTCTTTGAGTCCGGTCCAGACTTCAGCGCAGCGGCGGAGGTTACCATCTCCGTGCCCTTTGCCTTAGCCTTTTTCTTGGACCAACTCTTCTTGAACTTAGCCGATTTCTGCACCATCAACACTTGATGTGTGCCTTTCTTAATATCCTGCTCTACCACTTTGAGCGTCACATGCATTTCAGTGAGCTTCTTATCCATGCCATGCATATGATAGTTCGAGATGAACGTCCCATAGCTGGGCGGAACAGAACCCAGAACTGCATCAGTAGCCAGCTCATCCAAGAACGGGAAGCCCAACCGATCCAAAGCTTGCACATATCCGATCATCTTGATCACATGCGGGCTCAGTGGATCACCTTCCTTCATCTTATAATCCATCAAGGATCGCCAGACGTTGAACCTTTCGGTCCTAGCCTGCACCTGAAACATGCTCTTGAGACTCTCGATCATATCGAAATCCCCGACGTCTTCGAAATGCTGCTACAAATCGGGCTCCATACAAGCCAGCATGAGGCAGCTGATCTCGTTTGATTCATCAACGAGTTTCTGGTAGGCATTCTTGGTTGTGGTACTAGCATTATCGGCAGGTTCCTCCGGAAGTGGATCCTCTAGAACATGTTCCTTTTTATCATGCTTGAGAACAATTCTCAAATTTCTATACCAGGTAGTAAAGTTTGTTCCATTCAGTTTATTCTTTTCCAGAATTGATTTCAATGCAAAGTTGGGTTGAGCAGGTGGTGCCATTGATCTACAACAGAAAATATGCAATCACTAAGCAATGTGTTTATGTAGAGTAATTTAAGCCTTAAATATAAATACTCCCACTGAAGTTGGCATCCCTCCGCAAACTCTCAGTGATTCAGGATCCGACTAGCACATGCGACTAGTGAGCTTTAGCATCACTGCTAGACAACATGTCTATCCGGTAAGCAACTCCTTGCTAATCGTATCTCTATACAACTCCTGTCGGTCGGGTAGGTATCTCATACCCCGGCTCCCGACCTCTTTTGCCACAAGGCCTAAAACCGTTTTAATAGCCTTGTCAAGTTAACCTAATGTAGTGCATGTCTGTGTCCAACACGAACCCTTCAGTTCAAGGACACCTAGCAGCACCCCAATTTTATGAGCCCACTACTAGACGTACTTGACGTGCGAAGGTGCAACATCGGGAATGGTTTACTTGATATTCATGATGGATCTTTCTACCATTCCAACATGCATAGAAACAAAGAAGCATAACAATCACAAGTAAAACATATATTGTGAAATAGTATGGCTCCTTCATGGATGTTCTTCCAGGTCGGCTCCAACTCCGATGACCATCTGGAAACTCCATCTTGTTTGTCACGCCGGGCCACCAAGCCGCCAACCTGATATCTATTATCCAACTACTACAACTAGTAATGAATTTTACATAGAGTCGTAAGTCGACACGCAGGTCGTTATACAATATAATGACAGCAATTTGGCTCCTGCCGGCTGACAACCATGACACGCAGGCCATGTATAAATTACACACATGCATCACATACACATGAGCCATACTATTCACATTAAACCTGCAAAATAAAGTTACGCATAGAATCGCATTCTACCGGTTTGAGTGATCGTGTACGAGATAGAAGGCGCTACGCACACGGCGGTCCCAGATCATAGATCATATCTGAACTCCGATCTCGCCGAATTCTCTGATCTGACCGATCTTATCGATCATTACGAGCCCGATTCAGATTTACGTTCCACTGTTAACCCTGATGGCGGATACCGACCGGTAGGGGTAGGTTGTGTCACGACCTCATCGACTCCGATCATCAGAAAGCATAGCCACAACGATCCCGATGTGCAGTTGATCACATCAACCGTGCACATGGCCGATCTCATCAACGACAACAGATCTCATCTATCGCCTCCACATATCTAATATGCATACGAACTGAATCCAAATCCTATAACCTGGCTCTGATACCACTGTTGGGATCTACGGTAGGGTGCGTCGATTGCAAATTGAAATTTTCCTACGCACAGAACAACCAAGAACATGCTACGGGAGATGGATCACAGTTCGTTACCACTAGACGCGCAGTGCCATGCAGCGGAAGAAGAGTTGGGGCAGCGCGTCCGCGTGGATCGTCTCCTTCTCGTCCGATCTCCCTCATACAGCCAGTCGTCGGTTCCCACGTACAAGTTCGCTGGAGCGGCGCAAGTGCACCACCTCTAACGGTATCCGCGCGTGCAGAAGGAACGTCGTGCGGCGGACTGCTAGGTCCGATCACACAACCAGCGGCGAGTGGAGGTGTCTATTCGCAACACATGCAAACCCTAGTGACAGTACCGAAGCGATCAACCGCATGAGTTTGCCGCACCCCACTTTATATAGGTGTCCGTCGCGGGCTCAATACTTGGGTCTCGCACGGACCCTAAAGACAATAAGTCTACTCGGCCACAATCCGAATACAGCTCGGATCACATCCGACCAGTGTCCTTGGATCTGACCTCGTAGGTTCCTTCCCTTAAGCGCACGACCCCTTAGGTTCAAGCCGGCTTGGTCGCAGTTCGGATCACCTCCAGACTACATGGCTGGTAGAGGCCTCTAGCAAGGCGTGCCGACCACCAAGCAGACGATGAAGCTGGTTAGGCAAACCTGTACATCACACTTCCATTCCTTTTGCCACATGATATATGTCGTCGGGCTCAAGGCGAGTCTGTCATCCTTGTGCTAGCCCAACCTCTTTCTCGTTCCAGTGATGCCGACCACAAACCAGATTATCTCATAATCCTTGTCGCATGACCATGCTTATCCTGGTCGGATCACACAAGGGACCCAGAGTATATCTCTCCTTCTCGGAGGGGCAAATCCCATCTTGCTCGACCATGTCTCGCAGCATGGGTCTGGACAAGCCCGAAACCTACCTTTGTACCTACCCAGTCACGGAGTAGCGTTTGGTTGGCCCAAAGCAAGTCTGTTACCATCCTAAGTACATGCGCCTGCTCAGGTCTTAATTAGGACATAGAACGTATGTTGTACTAGAGACTCACAGATGACATATTGCTGCGTCTCATAGTTGGGTCTGTCCGACTCGGACCTTATCTCAACTCGGATCCGACTACGTCAAATCCGACCAGATCCTTCCGAGTCCATATTATCCGGTTAGCATCCAATGCCCCATGGCTAGTGAGACCAAGCCATCGACCGTGTCATATACTAGTCTAGTTGGTTGTGCATCCACACAGCCCTTTCGACTAGGGACCTTTTAGGACGTTCATCATACAATGCATAGTCCCACAAACAAGTCACGTACTTGCTGATACACATCATTGATAATGTTCGAGGACTATCTTTATTCATAAACACGTAGGAAATATCATCATACATGATTGCCTCTAGGGCATATCTCCAACACTGGTCGCCTCCACCGTCAAGGCGTGGCTCTGCCAACGTTTGTGGCGGATGGCGCGGCTGTTGGCGCGGGAGGAGCGTGACGACACAGCGGCGTCCACGGCAGCCACGGTGCACATGCCATTGTTCTCCTCCGCATGCTGGCGTGTAGCCACTGGCAACTCCTCTATGAGCTGACTTGGAGCAACAAGGACTTGCTGCATCAAGCACCGCTAGGAGCAGCGGCTTGCCCCTTTGCTTGCGTGCCTGCAGCCTCGCCCATTGTACTGATGGGTTTGGGCGTTGAGGAAGGTGGAGCAGATAGTTATCTAGCTTGTATTCGGCGGGCTCGACGAGCCACCTAGCGGACTTTTATACCAGAGAACTCATCTTCCTGCTCCGCTGGATGCCATGGAGATTATGGAGAAAATGGTGCAAGGAGATGGAAGCGGAGTGTAATGTGATTTTTGTCCAATGTTTGGGCTCGTTTAAATAGCGGGTGGACGCGAGGAGCCAACCGGCGTTGTGTTTAATGCCGGGCGGCTCGCGAACGGACATGTGACCGGAGTAGGTTTCTCGGCACACGCGCGGGTTTAATGGAGAAAGGCGAACAGTCTGTAGGTGTTATAATACAGGCCCATATTGGATGACACAACACGTCCGGACCACATGATCTGGACGGTTTGACGGTTGGCGTTGGAGATACTCTAAATCATCAAGTCCTTTTTGTTTTTGTTGGTGAAGTAGTTCTTTTTATGGATACGTCTAAATGATGTTGAAATCTAGTTTTTGGCTTGGATGACGTGTTAGCTATAAGCCATTTAGTTTTTTAACAAGTGGTCTTTGTTGACATGTTTTGTCTAGTTTTTTGGTGTTCGTTCGGTATTTTCCCTCTTTTGAATGAAGACATTTTTTTTGTCTTTGTAACAAACAGGGCAACAAATTCGACTATGCGCATCTTTGATCGGGGATAATAAAAGTTTTCATATGTCACAAAAAAAATCCGTTCCAAGAGACATAACTATACATGCTCAAATACAACTAAACTAACAATCATTGATAAGACATTTTTATCTTATGCATTCCACATTGTCATCCAGAGAAAAGAACAAAACATTATACAATGGTTTATCTCTTTAATGCTATCTCTAACAATTAATGGTTAGATGCTTGTAAACTTATGGAGTGATTAGAGTTAAAGTAGAACATATGTGACTAAAAGAATACACCCTCATTCGATGGAAAAGATGACTTATTTTTCTTGCTAAGAGATCAAGAGAACATCAGCATACGTATGATAAATGTATCGGTCCTCTAAAAATCAAGTGTCCTCTCTGCCCCAGTAGCTAGTTGTTCATCCTTCGAACAACTCTCTTACCACCCTTTCCAATTCCTCCACAGTGTACTTCTTTTGTTTCTTCTTTCCTGCCATTACTCGTTTTAACCACCGAAGGATCTCTGAAAGTCGGCTTCGATTTGCATCAAGTGCAAATAAGGAAGCCTCGTACAGTGGAACAATCAAACCCACAATCTCCTGCCGCAATTCATACTTGAGCTCCGCTGTAACCTTCCATGTCATCTGGCGATTACAGATAATAAGGAAGTCGGCGGTAAACATATCCGGACGGTGTGAGTTGTTCAGAGGAACCCAACACTCTTCAAAGTAGCTCCACCTGTATTGATGGATCATGGAAATGAGCCTACTCACCAATTCTACATTTGAAAAGGATGCCCCAGGACAGAGCATCAATTGCCAAACATTATATGTGTTATTCAATAGGAATATGTACTTTCGACTCTTTTCACCTGGGCATATCCATTCCGCGTCTTCCTCAAGCTTGGATACCCAACAATCAAACACTTCAGTGTAAGGTTCGATGGTGTAATCCCCGGTGGCAAATATTGACTGCACCCTATCTGTGTTACCACAGAAAATAGCCAAAGCTTGTATAAGAAGACCATTTGCTGGATGAATGGTGGATTCATGGCAGTTGCAGCTATGGATGTTCAGAAGTATTCCACCCAAAGCATTCAACATATTGTTAACAATTCCAGAAACCTCACCAGATCTGTTCAAAAAATCTTGTTACAAACTATTTAAAATAATTTGAATCACATAATTTAGGGGTCAATCTAAGAAAAAAATCTACATTATTTGCATAGAGAGCTAGAGATAAGTAAATAGTTAGCAGACTGCAAACAGTTATGCAGGTGAGTATTTCTCATATTTTAGGTGTATTTCATCATTTGCCCTTTTCTCACTGTAATAAGTCATCCTATATTCAATGTGCCAATTGATTATATGCATCAAGTCTAACATGTATCAGAAGTTCTCCTTCTCACCATTTCAGCCAACAAGAAAGGAAGAACCTGCTCTAGTTTCGTTTCTCCTCCAACTGTAATTGTCAATTCTTCATCCACATGGCTCATGCCATGTGCCCCTCTTGGAACCACTACCCTTATATAATAAAGTTCTCGAATTTTCTCTCTCTTTGCGGTGAGGAAAAAGGTCCAGTTCATCCTCTACAGTTTAGAGTCTAATTTTGATTGACAATTGACTTAAAAGGAATTCACCTTCATTCTAAATTTTCAGCTGATCGATAACAAATAAATAACAATTACACACGACTACCAACCAAAAATACAAGTAATGAATTCTGTAACTGATGTGCATGACTAACAACTGTAGTACTCCCTCCGTTCACTTTTGTAAGTCGTTTTAAACAACTTAAAATAGGTTGTTTTGCACATTGTCTAAAATGTCTTCAAGGTCTTATAAAAATGAACAGAGGGAGTACTAGAATAGTAGACCCATGTGATATCGCAAAAAAGAAAAATAGTAAACCCACATGAATAAAACAGTACACCCAAAACAGAGTGTAATGCTTACGATGAGAATATTAATACCAAACATACATTAGAAAATAAATACACGATGCATATTGTAGGCTTGGAGGGAATGATACTATTCTACACAGGAAAACAAATTGGGAATTCAATCATAGCACATGATAGGACGGATAAAAAATTCGATCGAAACTGAATTAATAGTCAGTTGACTGAAAATTAGCAATTCTGGGAAACAAAAGTTAAACGTCCAGCGCACTTAATTTAAGGTTGATATAAGTTGTCGGCCCTCGTATACTTAAATTGATCAATCAAATCTCTCCCCTCGTCCTCCCCCCACCTCTCAATCCTTTGTCCCGTCTCCGCTCCACCACCCCTTGTTGGTAGGCACGGAAGTAACATACAGTAGTAGGAGTACTGAATAGCAGAGAATCAGAGTAAGTAGAAAAGATTGGGGTAGTACGTACCTGCTGTCGATGGCAGCATTGATGAAGACCACTGTCCGTTCAAGCACCCGGCTTGCTTTGTCTTCGCCGTCGCTGCTGCCGCCGTCCGACAGGTAGGCCTCGGCTTGGGACGGCGCCAGAGCCTCTGGGATGGAGGCGGCGATCTCGTCGACCTCCTCTGCAATCACCGGGTTCTGATCGGCACCCCCATCTGGCAACTGCTCGAAAAGGGGCCGACGGAACCAGAGGGCGAGTAGGATGGCCACGGACGCAGCGACGAGGCCTATGCAAATCGGCGGCGAGACACAGGAAGGAGGACGCGGCGCATGATTGGGGCTGCAACTCAAGTCGAGGTACTGCGGGCAGCGAACATCAGGCATGGTTCGCCGTCGCCCGTCGGCGTGGGCTTCTTTGGAGGGAGGGGTAGCGGGATTTGTTGGTGTTGGAAGTGGCGCCGGCCGTCGCAGTGGGTTTTATAGCTCGTCCGTCTTGGCATTTTCCTTCCGTCGCTGCTCAGCTGCTGTCGACGTCGACGAAAGGGATACTTCCTGGAAGTTTCCTCCATTCTCCTTCCGGCCGGCCTCGGGACTTAAATTTTTGTTTTCTCCATGGAAGAGATACCGCGCACGCATGTACCATCTACTAGTCCGTACTGACGTACACCGGTCCATCCCTTTCATATCAGAGAGTCAGATTGGTAGGAAGGCGCCTGATGACAGCAATGTGTCCCTGCGTACCTCAGCTGGCTGTCTTTTTCTTTCTTTTCTTCATTTGCGGGAACACGAACGGGCTATTATTCCTCTACCGGACCACGATGACAATAATTTTAGCCAGGTCCAAACTAAGGTGCTAAAAGCCTAAAATATGCCCACCACTAAATCACACAGGGCCCAGTAATGTGCTACTTCCCCCGCAATTTTTATTTAGTAATGTGCTACTTGGCGCTCAACTACGAGAAAGTAAAAAGCCCGCCTTGCATATTCCATGTTTGCACAAATCCCCCTCTGTGATGCCCCCTCTCAATATTACTCCAAACAGGAGATTTTTTTGTGTGTGTGTGTGTGTGTGTGTGTGATGGAAATAGGGTGTTTTATTCCACACTCATAGAATTACAATCCTTAGCAACAAGTTCAGAAATAAAAAAGAGGAGATTTCTTTCTTTGTTTCTGCTGCGGATTTCTGTAAACAACCAGCATCGAGACAACATATGCCAGACCGGCGACGGCGAGCTATCCCCCGGTGGCAGGGGTGGAGCTACATGTACTACTGGGGGTGCCGCTGCCCCCACAGCCATAGCTTAATTAGAGAAGGATTTTTTTTATGAAGGCTTAAATTTAGTAGACTGCTTTCATTTAGGTCAGCGTTGTTCTGATTGGCATTATTCCCTCAGATCGGACAACTCAGATTCACCTCAAGCTCCTTCCGACGAATGGAGGCGGAAAGGTTCCAATTTTGTGTGCAAAAAGTTGTTGCGTGAATTCCGGGATCCATCAACAGTGCCGTTGCAAAGGACATGCCAGCCGCACACCATCTGAACGAGAACTGTGGATACACACGACCACGTACGGTCTCACTAGAACAAAGAGGAAACCTAACCAACACAAATACATGCGGAGCGAATCAAATGAAAACAACCACGGAGGAGACATGCCTCATTCGGCGTCGTCTCGCGAACGAATCAAGTAACAGCGACGAACGGCCGTGGCACTCTCCCGGCTGATGCTTTGATCTGATTTTTTTTTTCCTCTATGATGTCGTTTGAACCGTCTCTTTTGGGGTTCAAAGTTAAGAAGAAGAAAAGAGGAGTGGTTTTGTGCAAACATGAAGCAAACCAGGCGGGCGTTTCTTTGCAAAAACGTTATGTAGTTCGTCCACGTTGCATCCAACGGTTCATATTGGACTTTCCATGTTTGCATTGAAGGTTGGTTTCTAGCGGATACTTTCTCCTCAACTACACTAGTTCAACTCCAACAGGCTACCCGGAGCCAAATTATACCGGCGTCCGGCTACTTGCATCGATTCCAAGGAGCACGATGCTGGCTAATGGCTGGGAGCACCGGAGCAGGATGTCCACTACACTGCCTGCGATGACACATAGATGGACAACGATTCTCTCACTGTCGAGTAGGATTTCGAAGTCCTGGTGGTTTTTCATGTTGTGACAGTCCTTGCTGGTTGCTGTAATATGTTGGTTTGGAGTCTTTGGATTTTGATGATGATAGTAGGTTTTTGCCGCATAGTAAGTGCTATGCTAGCGTACACTTACACTTGACGTTCATCTCGCCGACCGGTTTGTGACTGGCAACAGACTTCCAGATCTCTTTCAGGAGGTCGGATTCGGTGTTCTTGCCATAGGCGTGCACCCATATGCGGCGGTCAAACTTGCCTCTGGCGTCTTGAAACGCCCGGCGAGCAAGCTCCGTCTTCCCCATCCCGCATGGCGACGATGGCGATTACCTGCTTCACCTTGCTGTCCACTTTGTTACCATCCGGCTGCTTCTGTAACATGGAGACCAGGTCAGGATACTCCTCCTGGTATCCGAAGAAGCTCCCCTTGTCCCTCACCGGGTTCGGGCCCGTTTCTGCTTGTCAATATGGAGCTCCTCAGTACTTGATGGAGTCGTATAAGATCTTTTTTCGCCTCCTCTAGATTGTCGAGCACTTTCTTGAGCTGATCCGACAACCAACTTGTCTTGGATTTCATGCCATGGCTCTTCTTCTTCGTTGTCGTTGTCTTCTTCTTCTTCTTAACCACGGAGGCTGCCTTGATATGCAGCTCGAACAGGTCGAAAACCTCCTCGGCGTCGTGGATGTCATCCATGAGCCGCCACAGCCGGTCGACCCTGATTGGTTCATTGACAAAGGCCGGGCTGCTTGGGTCGAGGGAAGATTTGATGCCATCAAGATCAGTTTGTGTGGTGTTCATGGTGCGAGGGTTTATAGACGGCGATTGAAAGTGAGCTTCAGGCTAGTACCATCCACAGTTTCGCCAGAATTAGCAGCATGCATGCTCCTCAGCCGGCGGGCCGGCTTGCGTTGACGATCAGTTTATGATTTTCTAAATAATAAATACAGTAGATAAAAGCAAGAGAAACAATGGCCGAACCAGATATCCTCCGACAGCGAGCAAAGCGTGCATATATTTCTAGTTACGACTATACATGGAACAGAACAATTCCGTGGGTTTCTCAGAGAAACTTCCTCTATATATAGCACTACATACACGTAATGAATAGCTATACACCAGACCAATCGTAGGCTGAATCCTGCTAATACAACAAGCAGGACCATCACCTGAAAATACCAACAGACAAAATGGTCTCCAAATGCTAAAATATGATAAATACACCGACCCTGTACGAGTTTCGTGCCCTATAGATGCTATCTTTCAAAGAGTCCCCTGATCACCTCTTCCAGTTGTGGAGCAGGATAGATCGGCTTCTCAGATCTGGCTCGGCACACCCTCTTCAACCAAGAACTTGGAGTTCCCTGCAGAGCCTTCAAGAAGATTACATATTTTGGAACAATCAAATCCACTATCCGTTCACGCAGTCTTTCCTTGAGACTAGTTTGAACTTTCCAAGTCATCTGGCTGTCACAGATGGTAAAGAACTCTTTGGTAAATTTATCCAAGGAAGAACCGCGTGGCTTCTTCAGAGAATCACCATCCAAATATCTCACAAGCGGAAACCAATATTCCTCAAGGTAGCTCACGATGTTCTGGTCCATCAGTGATACTAGATTACTCGCTACACTGGGAGGGAGTAATCCTGAGTGGCAATTCTTTTGCAAAACATAATTTGTGTTATTCAAGAAGAATATGCACCTTTGTCCCTTTTCTTGGAAAATTACTTCTGCACATTCCTTGAGCTTAGATACCAAACAATCAAACATGTCAGAGCATGGGCCAGTGTTGTAATCTCCAGATTCAAGTATTGACTGGACCATCTCTCTGTTACGACCAAAAAACTCCAGGACTTGTATGAGAATAAAAGTTGCTGGATGAATAACAGATTCTTTGCTGCTACGGATGTCATTTGAAGTGCTCTGCATTACACCTTTGAAAGCATTCACCATCTTATTAATAATGCCAGCAACCTCACCAGATCCACTGAAAGGCAGGTCTTGTATATTGAATAGGACATCAACAAGTGTGTCAAAAATAGTCAGCTGTTGCGAAATGTGGACATCAGACCATTCTGCATCACCGAATGAACATGCAGCCTTGAGGATCAGTTCTAAAGATTGCTTGGCTACCTCTGCAAAGCGTTCTTCAGCCGATTCCTGATTCTGCTCATGTAATTGCCGCTTACTTAAACAAACAAGTTTGGTAGTAATTTTGAGCATCATGACCCAAGTCCTTGTTGTTTCATCGGTCAACTCACGAGGACCTGCAAAGCTTTCTGCCCTTGCTGTGAGGATCAATGGGTTCCCATTTACATCAGACAGTCTGTAATATGGACAAGATTCAAACTTTAGAATGTACTACAAAATGCATACATACAAGGTTTCAGGAAGTTTCACATAAATCAGAAAGCACCGAAGACACTATCATCCTCAGAAAGAACATCAATTCAACTACACAATGCAGAAACCTCATAATGTAAAGACAAACACAACATGATTGATTAGCTTCAATGTACAGTTATACACTGAAATTCAGAATTATATGTTTCATAATATACCTGGTTCAAGTGGACATGGAACCAGGTAAAGACAAACACAAAATGCACAGAGACAAGTGGCTTAATGCAGAACCTTTGCTTAAAAATTACAACTCTGTCTGTTGGCTTGAAATGCCTCAATTTGGACAATTGCCACGCATTTTAATGACTTGTCTGGAGATGTTCTAGATGGCATCATCATGTATATGCATCCTTTTCTTTCTCTTTATTTAGTATGATTGGTGTTGAGAATGAATGTATTATCACCTAGTGAAAGGTTTGAACTAACATTTGGTGTTGAGAATGAATGTATTATCACCTAGTGAAAGGTTTGAAGTAACATTGTTTCGCTATTTAATCTTCTTTGCATATCTGTTAATTTTAACTTCCAAGAAACCATGTAAAGATTATGGGCCAGTTAAACTAATTTAAACCACCTACTTTACTATTCAGCACGAAATAAAAATGTGCAAAACCTATTGGATTTGCTTGGTAGTTAACTAACTGGAAACAGACAATGCTAGGAGAATGGGGCATAATAAGCCATAAGAAAAGCAATATTCCTCAAGAACCAGTATCGTATCTGTTCGATATGGACCATTCTATACTCAAATCCGATCTATTGTGCAACCTTCCCTTCGAAACCCACCCCACACGAATACTTCTACCCCTTATATAATGTTTTAGCTTGCCAGACTTTTAGTCTTTTGTTTTCC